GGGGGGGGGGGCATTGATGTGACAGAGAAACATCGACCGTTTACCTCCCATACAGTGCCCCAACTGGGGATTGAACCCACACCCTGGGCATGGGCCCTGACCGGGAACTGAACCCACGGCCTTTCGGTGCCCGAGCTGCTGCTCCAACCAGCTGAGCCACCGGCCAGAACAAGATGCGGATCCTGCCTGACGTACCGCAGGCTGTAGGGGAGGACACCAGGGCGATGGGCGCAGAGCGCAGGCTAAATGACAAGCGGGGATCACGCAGGTCCCGCCTGCAGGCTCTGGCGCGGGCTGTTTCGGCCGCCCGCTCACCTCTCCTCTCCCCTCCTCCCGTGTGTCCAGTGTTTTCAGACCAAGTTCAAACAGCAGCCCCCGCGAAGCTCTCCCAGAAGCATGCAAGCGGAACCAGCCACACGCTTCGTGGCTTTAGCGCCTTTGCGTAGGCCTCGAATCTGGCAGATAACCGTCGTCTACATTGCCAACGACAGTGTGTCACGCTCCACCCCCGCGTCACCGCATCTCCATGCGCAGCTCCGTCCCCGTGGGGGACGCGCCAAGGCCACGGCAGCTGGGTGCCCGTTACCGACTGCCCGCCACCGAGAGTCTAACCCCGTCCCTCGCTTACACAGACACTCACCTGGGAAAGAAGCAGCATTTTATTTATTTCCTTCTTTCTCCCTCTGAAAGAGCATGCTTTTGTGTATAAAAACAGTGGTAGAAAGCAGAAGAAAAAACCCATAGATTTAGCTAGAGGAATAATTAAAATCTCTTTAAAAAAAGTATGGAAAGGAAAATTAGGGACACCTCAGACAAACTATAGCAATATACTGGAAAATAAGGTATACGTAATATATGTGCACAGATACACAGGCTTATAAAGATTATATGTAAAGTGTTCATATACTTAAATGAGAAATGATATTAACATAAATTTACAAAAGAGTAAATAAAAATGTTTAGTTAATGTTCATTAGAAGATATTATTTATTATAATTATATAACTTAAAATATGTTAAGTTACATTATTTAGTAATGAAATTAATGTTTAATAGAAGTGTTCAGGATTAAAGGAAATAAGCATAGAAATATTAAACATTTTACAATAAAAAACATACATTTTAACAATTAGAAATTAGTGTTTTAGCAAAATAGTAAAATCATTCAGAACATCTTATCCATAATTCCACTTTTGTGAATAAAGAAATAATCCTAAAATTCAGGCATAGGTTTCTTTTTTAAAAATGGGACTGTTAAAGTTTGTGTTTGTTCTACGCCTGAAGAATAGCAAGAAAAGAGTGACACAGCAATACACTGGATGTTACGCAGCCTTTTAAAATAATTTTGAAAAGCATTATGAATGAGATGCAAAATCCTGGCATATACTGTTAAGTAACAAAATGCAGGATTCAAAATTATACACAGAACCTAACTATACAAAATACCCATAATATATAAACATCTATGAATGAGATGATATTACCTTATCTTTTTTACCTTTCTGCATTTGCTAGATTTTCTACAATGACTATATGTATTTTTTTAATAGCAACGTCACTGAGATATAACCCACATACCACGCAAGTCCCCTGTTTAAGTATACAATTCAATGTTTTCAGTATATTCGCAGGGTTGTGCAACGGCATGTACTATTTATATAACCAGAAAATAATTAAATAATCAGACCTATGGTTTATAGACGCTCTGTAGAAACACACTGTCTTCCTTTATATAAATAGATACGATCTGTATTTAACCACAATGAGGAGCCACTTTCAAAGATACCAACCAAAATGTTACCCGAGTAGCTCCGTGAAAATAAATGACAGCATGGTTCCCTTTTCTAAGGCTAGTTACTCTGATATATTCTCAACAGAATTTCAAACAAAAATGAGAGATCTGATCCCAGGATTTACCTTTACAGTGTTTGTGGTCTGGGGTCGGGGTGTAGCCCTTGTGACATGAGCACATGTAGGAGCCTTCAAGGTTGGAGCAAGTGCCGTTGGCGCAGACCTTTGGATCCTGGCACTCATCCACATCTTGAAGAAGGTTGCATATTGGAAAGGGAAATAAAAAAAAAAAAAGAACAGACCAGATGAAGAGAGAAAAAAAGAAACAAAACACGAATCAAGTTAAATTTAGTTAGAAAAACAATAGTGGATCTTCAAAAAAGGGGCGGACCCTTGAAGATACGCTTTCAAATTAGCCCTTAGAAGGGAAAAGCTCTGGTGCGAGCTGCATATATGACGGCTCTATGCCTTAATTTACTTTCTACAAAGTAACTCAAGAAAGGAACCAAACATGCTCTTGGAATAAATTCAATGGAAGGCTTGTTGTGGACAGGAGAGCAAAAGAGAGTAGTTTTAAAGCAACATCCCCTAAAAAAAAAATATTCCAGCCCGGCCGGGCATGGCTCAGTGGTTGAGCGTCGACCTAGGATCCAGGCGATAGGGGTTGGATTCCTGGCCAGGGCACATGCTGGGGTTGTGGGCTCGATCAATGACTCTCTCATCATTGATGTTTCTGTCTCTCTCTCTCTCCCTCTCCTTTCCTCTCTCTGAAATCAAAGATATATTTAAATATATATATATATATTCCAAAGAATCAAAGATGCGTCAAGTTGTACTTGGAGAATTGATGAGGTTCACAGAAGCAAAAGGTATGACTCACGACCCAGAGAAACTTCAAGAAAAAGTGGAACAGTCAGGTGAAAAAAAACTAATAAAATCAGTATCACAATAACCAGTCTGGGGACAGACATAAGGTTATGTGAGCAGTTTAAAGTATGGTATGGGCTGAAGAGGCAGATAAAATAATAAATAATCTTTACCAAGCACTTCCTGCGTGCAGGCACGGAAGGCTGTGCCTGTATCATCTCACTGAATCCCAACAAAATCCAGCCAACCATTTACAGAGAGGAAGGAACCGAGACTTGGAGAAGCCCGATAGCTTGCCAAGGCCACACCGTTAGACAACGGCGGCTCCGAGACTGGGATCCAGTCAGCGTTAACCCCAAAGCCCATCCCTCTAACCTGGCTGTTTCTATCGTAGACAAGTTAAGTCTAGTGATAGAAACACAGAGAGAATGTGTATTCATTTTTATTATTCGGTAACACAGCAGTTATATAAAAACTAATCATCTAACTGTTCATTGATTTCATTCAACAAACATTCGTTAAGCTCCTAGGGGAACATCATTCATTCAGAAAGAAAAACTGGAGTCCTGGGCCCCATCTGAATGCCCCTGGGTGAGTCCACTGCAGGCTGTCGTGGGAAGACATAATGTAGCACGAGTGACCAAAAACACAGAGGACAAACAGCCCCAAGTGCTAAAAGAACCCACACAGAGCATCGAAATTCAGGCTTCCTTGTGCAGCCGGCTGTAAGGCTGACCGATGCCTCTTAATCACGAGGCAGGCGAACAGCAAGGAGGAGAGGCTCTCGATTCCATCATTTCACCGGACGCGCCCACGGCAAAAGCAGCGCAGCTCTCCAGCCTCCTAACCTTAACAGGCAGCGTCATGAACACGGTGGCCACAGAGATCTCATCTTCCGTCGGCAAGCCAGAGTTCAGCGGGCATTCGTTTGCGCTGCATTTCATTAAAGCGGTGTTCTCCCTTTCTTACAGGAGAATTCAGAAATAAAGCATTAACAAAAATAAGGCAAAGAAACGGGTGACTGCGCGCAGGTGGGTTCCATACGCACACTGAGACGAGCCAAGCAACTGGCCTGCCCGGCGCTCTCCCCCTCCCCCAGCGTCACTCAACAAAAACAGCACTTCCAGACCCACGCACTGACCATCCTTCCTGTGTGCGGGTCCACTTTGGTACACATGGAGAGCAAGCAACTTGAAAGGAGCCAAACACTGATGCCAAAGTAAATAACGGGACAGAATGAGCCTCGATACTAAGTATGGAAATTCCTGACAGCAACGTGAAAATGTCAAGTCTAGCATCTGGTTTTGTTGCAACAATGTTAACAAGTTGAAAAATGTATGGATCGCTCTCCTTAATTATTCACGCACCGAGGAATGTGACTTACAGGGCTGCAGAATGTAATAGCAAAATCAGCTTCAGGCCATATTTCTCTAAAGTAAATTAACAGACATCGCAGATTACTATTCATGAGATACTTACAAAAGTTCTATTCTGTCAGGCTACTACCCTGATTAACCACGAAGCAGAAAGCCTGGAAATACCTAGGGTAGTCTGACGTGTTTAATCTTCTCTTTACTTATTACAGACGTGATTGCGTGGACCCAGAATCCTTTCAAGTCAATCACTGACATGAGACAGAACAGTCTGAATTCAATGAGTACTTGGCCTTAATGGAGCTAATGCCCTCGAGGAAAAAACTATATAGTAAAATATCACTAAAGTCCCTCTACATGGCGTCAAAAGGTACAAACTTCCAGCTATAAAATAAGTAAGTCACAGTGATGTCATGTACAGCACGGTGACTAGAGTTAATAATACTGCATATCTGAAAACTGTTAAGGGAGTAGATCTTAAAAGTAATTTATCACAAGGTAAAAAAAATTTTGTAAGTATGTATAGTGATACATATTATCTAGACTTACTATTCTGAGCATTTTGCAATGTGAACAAATATTGAATTGCTATATTGTACATATGAAACTAATACAACATTACATGTCAATCATACCTCAATTAAAAAAAGAATCTCTCTATAGAAGAAAGGTATCTAGAACGGGGCCTCACTTAGTGGATGCAAAATCAGCTCAGTGTTGTATCTTTAGCCCAGACCTATCTCCTAAACCGTAGATCCCTGCATCCAGCTGGGCAATCTATGAGACGTCTCCACTTGATGTCCCACAGACACCTCAGTCTTCGTGGCCTAAAGTGACCTTTCCCACTGCCGCTCCTTCATGCCATCCCCCATGTCAGTACATGGTGCCAGTGCCCACTCAAGGGCCCAAGTCAGAAACATGGGCATCAACCTTTCCAGATTTCTTACTCTCTCCCCACATTCAATTTACTACCAAGTCATATCAATTCTACCTTCCAAATGTCTCTCAAATGTCCTCACTTTACTTCACTCCTATTCTACCATTTCTCTCTCACTTGGGTTACTGCCATAGTCTTTTCATTGTTTTCTCTACTTCAAGTCCTGCCCTCTTCTAACACCACCTAACCTACAGCCACAGTAAAGTTTCTACAACACAAATCCAATCAATGGTTCCTCCTCTACTTTAACAACCTTCCGTGGCTCCCAGCGTTCTTCGGTTTGGTTAAGGACACGAACTTGTGGGGGCCGAGTGGTATGGACAGAAAGGCTGGCACCACAATCCTTACTTCCGACCCCTGGGAGGGTCAATGCCGTGGGAAACAAGGTGGTTCCTGTCCCCCCACAACCCATCACTCACAGCCCCTTACCCCTGCCGCAGAGGGAGCCGGTGATGTCGGTGGCTTTCTTCGCTGGAGATCAAAACTCACCTCACTCTAGGATCACAGGTCTTACAGAAGAGTCACGTTACCCAAATTCTTACAACGCATATACATGATGAGTTCAAAAGGGAAATGTGTCACGAAAAACACCATGTCCACAGAAGAATGGCTTCCGAACTCCAAAAAAAAAAATTACCAGTGGACTTTCGGGACAAAATCTGGCATCTGCCAGTCGATGAATGAATTAAAACTCCCTGCAGTAAGGACGCTGCTGGCAGCTCATGAGGCCAGCACTTTGTGGATATCATAGTCCAAAAGTTTATGAACCCTCCTCACTGGGCTATCACCCCATCGCAACTGGTCCTTGTCACTCATAACACCCTGACAGGCCCTACAAGCGCGGTGCTGAGAGGGACGTGCCGTACCCGTGGAGGCCCTGACCCGCTCCCCAGGAACTCGATCGGAAGCGGCGCTCAAGGCCGTCTGGCATGATTTGCCCTGACTGAGCCCGGGCTGATCCTTATGATCACCGCTTCCCTTTAAAAATGTTTCACCTCGCCTCTGAATCCTGTAGTCCCCAGTTTCTTTGTCGAGATCAATATGAAGTTCACCAGTCATTAGTTCCCGGCTCCACCTTCTCTCCTCTTTGGGGGAAAATGAGGCTATTAATCTCTCTCCAGCTCTTTGGCAACTTTCCATTCTCAACAATTTCACAGAGATGACTCCCAGCTGGCCAACAATCCCACCTGCAAATTCTCTCCCTGCCTTGGGATGTATTTCATCTGGGTCAGGAACCCTTTGGAAATTTCCCTTCCTAATATCCTGGGAACACGCTGGACCGCCTGAAGCCCCACCGTGGTGGGCCTGATCGCTAAGGCACAGGGGGTGTTCAGAGGCTGACTTTACACCAGTCAGCCAAGGCCGTGCTGCAAACACCACCCCACCCCACCCCACACACACACGTCACGTGTCAGCTCCCTGGGGTGGGTCAGGGCTGGTTCCACAGCAAGTTTGCCTGCATCTGCACCGCCTCCTGTCCTTTCAAGGAGATGAGTCTACCCACACTGCAAACCAGTTATTTTTTGCAGTCTGTCGAGCCTCCTTGAATTTCTTAGGGACCAACATGGACTTCCTGAGTGAGCGCCGTTTGATGCGGGGAGAAAACACCTTATTCGATCACTACAGCTACACAAAAATCTAGGAGTAATTACTCCCTGCCCCAAATATGCCACTTCTTTAATTATCCCGTCACTGTTCTTCATGCATAGTCTTTTATACTAAAGGTGATGAGAGAATATATTGGACAGAAAAGCAGGCCTGGCAAATGGGAGACACGTGCTGCTGAGGCCCGTGTGACATCACAAGCTCAACCGCAGGTGAGGTACTGTAAGTCCTCAGGGTCTCAGGCCCACTGTCAGTTCTGACCAAGTCAAAATGTGCAGCAGCAGAGCTGCCTGCAAAAAGATATGTTCCTTGAAGGCTCATCGCTGCTTTTCAGAACTGGAAACCAGCCAATACTATGCACACCCCAGATAAAGAGTCAAGGACAACTTCAGAATATTAATCCACTGATGCCACCAAATCACTGGCTTCTTACCTCGCCTTTCCCAGGGAACATTTGTCTTTCAGCA